GCGCTGGTGCCGGCGGCGGCTGCTCTGGGTGGGGGTGCGTTAATGACGCACTTGTACTAACTCACTCATTAGGCGCTCCTCACCGGTGAAAACTCACCAAAAAATACGTAATTTCTGACACGAAAGTGTGACTTCACCCCAGCTACAGAGGAAGCGCTGCGAACGTCGGGTTACAAAGAGAAAGGGTACTGCATAGAAACGCCTATTTGATTTGCATTTTCGTCTTCACTGATCAATACTTCAGGCTTTCCCCCTCCTCCTTTGAAAGAAACAAAAATAACAGCTTTCCAACAGTATTTGTACCACTTCTATTTGTAAAAATAACCATCTGAATGCATTGAAGGCGTGTACAGTTGGGGTTGTTCACATGAACACAGCATTCAGTAGTTAGAAAAGTTACTCAGCTGTGCTTTAGAGAGACTCGGGCTGAATTCCAAGCCATTCATCACAGCGTTTTCCCTCCTTCTGTATGTGACATTTACCCAAGTCCTTAAACTTCAGTTTACAGAAGCAAACAACACGGACAAAACCCCACTGAAACCATCAAACAATATTTTATATTGTTTATTACAAATGTTATGCAAAATATAACACTGGCACCAGATCTGTATCACGATGGTTTGAAAAGATATATTGCACATGCTAAAGCATAAAATATAAGACAAAACCTACAAAACATAAGATATTGGCTTTAATATGTAGATCACTGCATAAGAAACGCATAAAATTACAATTTTTACACACGCTCAAGATTGTCACTAGTTTAAAACGCCCTCCTCTATAACACTGACCTAAGAGTTACTTTTTGTGTAGTAAGAAAGCATTTTCAGCACTGCAAAAATTATACGTTATTCCTGTAGAAATTTAGCATATTAATTTTCATTTCAATGCAGGTAGAACATATGAAAAGAAGAAACACTTTATACATTCAAAGAAGGTCTGAAATGAAAATTTCCTGGTAATATATTGCTTTTATAACACTCAAATGAAAAAAAAAGACAAGTTTCACAAAACATTTCCGTAATACACAAATATAAAAAGGCACTCTAATATTTTTTACATGACTAAGAATAAAAATCACAATTTTTTTGTTTTAAATCATCCTCAAGATACATAACCAAGTTTCTCAACAGTACAATGGATAAACAATTCATTTCATGTGTTTGTTCTAATTCAACAATCTGGCAGTTGTTTCCTGCATAAAAGTACCAAACACATTATGGTGCCCTTTTAGTAGCGATGAACGGAAATCCCCTGAGCTATTTCACAGCAATTTCAGGCAGTCCAGAGGTTGTAACTCAGTATTTAGGAGAGAGACCTAGGACCCCATCCTGCTATGGATTCCACCTGCAGCTGTGGTTAAAATACAGGAGGAAACGATCCTGCTAATACTCCTGGGCAGACCCTCCCCACATCCCCTTCGCTTGGTGCAGGCACAGAATCGTCTGCTTACTGTACATTGCAGGATCCAGGGTTAAGTGCAACAATCAGGTACGGCTAACTCTGCTCTTGTAACAAGTCCACAGAAAGGCAAGGTCATTATTTACAAGAGTAAAATTATTTCCATGCTTAAAAACCTGCCCCACGTTACAAATTTATTTCTACATCTGATAAATTATATTACAGATTAATGTACTAGCATACAAAAAAAAGGGAACTCGCGTGGGATGTGGGATAGGCCAATACTGAGTGCTTCCAAGTGTCTTGTTCCTAACAGTTTTCCTCCTAAATACACCGTACTAGAAAGATGAGGTTCCCAGTGCCCTGAAGATGCCAACAAATTGTGTTTGTATGATTTCTGGAATACTGCATACTTGTTAGTTCCCGGAAAAGTTTAATCTGTAAAGTTTAGATCTCGATCCTAGAAGCATCAAAGCAAATCAGTGATCTCCTGTGGTTCTATAATGTTGTACACATCAATAAGAGGCAGAAGTTGCACTATGCAATTACCAGAGCTACGAGGTACTGTGGATATACAGAAATATTTTCAGTAACTCTGAATGGTAGCAAGTAAAAATACTGACATTTTGTAAACGGCTGCTCAAAATAATGCAACATCCTCTTTGTAAAGAGGACTGATTTTCTAATAAAGCAACTCCATGTAGGACAGAGTAACTTTCTGTCCAGGGTGAGACTTTATAAGTAATCCTGTCAATGAGCCTACCTACATTTCTGGTTAAACTAAGATTAAAAGGATGATCCTGCTGTTAGACAGGAGACTCCCATTTCCCATTTGTTTTTTTTTCAATGCCATAACTCCACATTAAAAAGCAAAATTTGGAATTTCTATTCATTTCTGAACACACACTACTGAAAACCTAAACAATTGATCTCTCCTCTTATTTTCAGTGCTTAAAGTAAGGTGGTAATTGCTGTTCTGCAACTCTTAAAAGATAAGATGTAATTTTTTATTGTAAACTTTGGAAATCTGTTAATGGTTGAAAAAACATTTAGTTTTGCCCAATGTTCAGAGTAACAATATTTAATTTTAGCAAGGCAAAAATAAACTTGATATATAAATATCTTTCCTAATTAAAGAACTGGAATCTGCCAATAGATTTTTAACATTTAGTGAAACATGGCTAAAAACTGCAACTAAACCAAAACTTTTCATTTACCCTGCTGCAAGGGACACTGAGGAAGCTCACAATCTCCTCCCAACACAGATGTAGGCCTGCAAACAGCCTGAGCATGGCTGATGGGGACACTCACACCTTGACTCCATCCTGCATTAGAGAATCACAGAATCTTAGGGGTTGGAAGGAACCTCTGAAGATCATCTAGTCCAACCCCCCTGCCAGAGCAGGATCACTCAGAGCACATCACACAGGAACGCGACCTGGTGGGTTTTGAATGTCTCCAGCGAAGGAGACTCCACAGCCTCTCTGGGCAGCCTGTTCCAGGGCTCTGTCACTCTCACAGTAAAGAAGTTTTTCCTGATGTTTACATGGAACCTCCTGTGTTCCAGTTTGCACCCACTGCCCCTTGTCCTATCACTGGACACCACTGAAAAAAGCCTGGCTCTGTCCTCCTGACACTCACCCTTAACGTATTTGTAAACATTGATGAGGTCGCCCCGCAGTCTCCTCCAAGCTCAAGAGACCCAGCTCCCTCAACCTTTCCTCATTACCTTTTCCTCTCTTTACTCTTGCTGTACAGTGTTCTCTCACTTGTCTAGCAAGGGGTTGGATCACTTTCTTCTGCTCTTAAAAGTGAAGGAAGGTGTTCTGCGCTCTGATTTTTAGCAATATAGCCTGTGGACTTTATCTTTGCATTCCACCCAAGAAGATGGGCACTCTCCTGAAGTGCATCAGACCTTCCTTTTTCTGCTCAGGCCATCAGCCTTGCCTGGATTCACATTTCATTTCGCATCACTCCAAATAGCACGCACAAACGCTAACTAGGAGAACAAGCCATAGTTATTTTTCCTGGGCATTTGTTTCATTTCAAATAAATATAAATACATTTACATTAAAAGTATATGAACATATTATTTAGACTGAAAAAAAACACAACAAACCTGTGGTCAACACATCATCAGTTACAAACATCAACTTGAAACCTGTGTCATAAAATGTAAAATTCACTCAAGACTACTCATTACCTCAGAAGTTTATTTTTTTATGGTTTAGAAAAAGACTACTTCATTATGTCACTCACATTTGAAGAAAAAAATAAAAGTAGCAAAGTCTTCCATTTAATTACTGAAGAATTTTGGTCCTCTTGGTATAGCTGGTTAGTTCATGATAGCTTTTTGTTTAGGCTTTTTTGTTTCTTTTTGTTTACAAAATCTCATTCTTCCTTTTGTACATCTGTTGTGGAGGAGGGTCGTGGTCCATTTGACCTAGAAACTTTGGCAGAAGGAGTAAACATATTCACAAAGTTGACATTGCTTTAAAAGCTGGTGACAAGAGGCTTTTTTTAGCATGTATCTCCAATCCCCCGCACAGCACAGCGCCAGGTTTTCTGGTGTTTGGTATTTCAACTTTTGGTGTTTTGCTTTCATTGCTTCACCTCTGCTCTCTTAATCCAAACACTGGCAAAAGTATTTTAATATTTGATAATGTTTACAGTAAAAATAAGTTATTTAAGCATAGAAAAGGAAAAAAATCCATTTCAGTTGCCAAGTAACTATGAACTTTTACATATGTCTTTGTCTACACCTGATTTTTTTTCTTTTCTGATACTAGATTCATGGTTAATGGCTCAGGTGACAGAAACATCTAATGACCCTAATTCTGTAGTGCAAATAAACCATACATATTTGTGCTGAATTGAAAAAAAATAAGGGCCAAATGATTTTCATTTTACACTAGTGGTTCCACTCATGTCTGTGAGAAAATATAGTGAGGCAAGTAGAATTTGGCCTTAAGACTTTATAACTATATTTTTCTAATTGTGTGCTGCAACTAAGAACTGTAAAAAGTGCCTTCGGTACATTTAAGTGCTTAATACATGCAGAATGTAAAAGGTTTAGTTTCCTGTAGAAAAGTAATACAGGCAGTTTTCAGATTTACAACTTTACCTTTGGTTTGTATTAAAATAAAATAAAATTAAAAATTATCTAATTATCAGAGCCCCTGGAGGCAGGGAACAGACAGAGGAAAGGGGTAAATGGTTAAATCTATGAAGGCTACAATGGATTGTGTACTAAAGGTACAGCTGAAACATGTAAGAACTTTTTACAAACAGTTCCCTGTTTATTTGTGCTGTCAAAAAGAAAAAAAGGCATTTTCTTTTTCTACTTAAAATAAGAGGTAGAGACTTTCCACAGGGGCACTTAGGGCCTAAAGAAAACATCAGGAAGTTGAAAAGCTGCAGAACATTAATGGGACTATGTTTCAGTAAATCCCACTGACTTTGTTATTTAAAGGCTTGGTTCCCATCAAAACTAGAAATCTTTCAATACCTACTTGTCAAGAATAATAGTTAAGAATATAGCGGTGGGATTTAAGCTGTTTAAAAAGACAAAAATAAAGCTGAAATTAAAATAACAACTAAGGAAGTTTTTGAATACCAAAAAGTCAAAATGTTTCAGAATCCGAATCATTGTCATTGTCCCCATCCTCTGCTCCTATGTTATTACTCAAGGGCTTATTGTACAAGTCAGCGCCGCTCCCCGCGCTGGAGCCATCGCAGAGATGTGTCCTGCCCAAATTGTCTTTTTTAAAGCAAACGAAGTTGAAAGTCGTCATTGAACTGGAAGGAGAAAAAGGCATCATGGTAGCCAAAATGAGTGCCAGGCAGTCAGCCACGTCTTTGTTAGGGGCGCAAGCCAGGGCTGGCGTGTGACCTGGGCACAAAGGCAGACAAGGCAAAGGTTAGTACGGAGGGCACCCAGGGTGGCCCTGGGCCTTCCTCTGGCACATCTCTAGGTGACCTTGTAAGCAGGAGATGCATGTTCAGTCACAGCCATGCCAGGCAACAGGGATTTGTTACTTATTTTAAATCAGACATGCTGGGAAAATACACACTTGATGGAGCACTGAGACCGCTGTGACCACAACAAGCAGTACTTTTTTTTTTTACAATCAGGCAGCAAACAGACTTCACGGTATGAATTAAAGCACTTGCTAAACACAGTTCTACAGCACAGAGGGTACAATGGGTACAAACACAGGGGGTACAGCAACAGGGACAGAAACTGGATTCAGTTTCTGTGTGTATGAACAAGTGTCATTCTGAGAACAATGACTTTCATTAGAACAATAAATATATTAGTATAAAAACATTTTGAGGTAATAAGCGAACAATTAAAAAAATTGATCAGTTGAGTATCTACTCAACTCAGGAAGCAGTTTATTTAGGAATTAAATTATGGGAGAAAAGAATTAGACTGGAGCATGTAGTACATGTATAGCAGGTATGACTATGTGGATGTTTAGTTACCCAAATTTACATAATGTTAGAAGAATAACGACTGTACTTAGAAAGCATGGCATACACTTTAAATATGCAGTTAATATTCTGCAGATGTCAGTAAAAGGAAGAACTGGGGAGCTATTAAAAGCTTGTCTTCACTGCAGTGTAAGGTGGCTCCTGCCCAAGCACTGCCCTTAAGGCAGCTCTTGACGTATTCAGCCCTTGGAAACCAGTGTGCTGATTACACTTGCTGTCTACACGTTTTGCAGGCTGCTGTGAGTCCTCCAGCACTTTCCAACAAATCCTCCTTTATATGAGAGGAAACAAATCCTTTGGAGATAACAATCTAAAGTGCTGCAGCAACAGCAGTGTGAGGCAATGACCACTACTGATGTCCTACTGCCTCAAGTGAGCTAAAACCACCTGCAGTACAGGCGAGTTTGATAGACAAATGGGAGTATGTTTTGCAGCAAACTACCCATGTTTAAGCACTGACTGCAGTGAATGCAAACCCTAAGTGGAGTTTCTTCTCCCACTGAGTTCCAAGCATGAACACCTTTAGGGCTGTACTTATACTAAGATTGTACCTCAACTGCATATGCAGTTGCTCCTAGAAAAAAACAAATGTGTGTAAAATTTAAACTTATTTTTAATTTGTTACATAGGATTAAGTTAACTGGACCTGTATGCATAATTTTAATGATAAAAACTGTGATTAGAAGCCAGTCTGGTTCATTTTTCTGTTCCCTATCTCTAAAATGAGGTTAGGGCCAGATGACTTCAGTGGATCTCATCCATGCGAGTTCATCTAGCAGCATTTGGTTAATAGCAAACACTCACCACTCAGTTCTTTTCCTCCATTGATCTCAAATGTCTTGCAATGATGGGTGACTATTATTATTAATTTACAGATATGGGAAGATGGAGGCACTGAATTGTTACATTAATACCATGAAGTCAGTGTTGTAAGAATGGAAGACATTTTTAAAAAGTATTAATTACAGAAGCTCAGCCCTCTGTGTGTTTTATAATATTTAGGGAAGGACTTCAAAGAGATCTGAAACAAAATAATCAGATTTATTAATTAATCATGTCTTTTATGAGCCAACAGTAATTTACTTGCATCTTGGATTAGGTCAGACAATTGGAAAGCAGCAGCTTTGATCTCAGAATGAACTAGGACACAATCAAACATATGTTGATGGTTTTCTTCCTACCCATTAAAGCATGCGCTGATTGAATGCATAATCCTTAATTCTTCTGCAAGGCGTCAGATTTATCCGGTGCCACTTGCATGTTTAGGAAATTCAAGTTACCACTGCACTCAAGCATTAAAAAAGACTAGCTGTTGACAGTACATGCAACATGAACAGTAAAAGGGACTGCTGTGATGTTTAGAATATGTTTTTATATTAAAGAAAAAAAAAATAGGTTCAGTTTGTTGTGTTTTTTTAATAGGTACTCACACAGCTCACTGTCTGTGCTTGGAAAGATAAAAGCATCCATGATGTCTATCATCAGCTTTTAAGTCTATTGCTTAATAAATTTGTTGTAAAATTTCCTGTTAAGTCCTACCTAAGATTGTCAAAGTGTATTATTTACTTACCATTTTCATCTACTGCTAGGACACAGGCCCCTTTGGCTAGCAACTCTTCAACTACCATCTTTAAGCCGTTTCGTGCAGCAATGTGGAGAGGTCTATAAAAACATAAAAACTAAATTCAAGTTCAGTTTAAAATAGACTTTATAGAAAAAGTTAGGTAATGCTTAAAGCATACCCAGCATCAGAAAGAGTTTGTTTCCCTTCTTTGGATCATTACAATTGTATTGTGGACAGTAAATTATATTACAGCCTGTAAAATAATCCTCGTGTTCCACACCTATAAAACATACATGCAAGTCAAATCTATTTATCTTTAGATACATAAAGATTACTTAATACTTTCCAGTCTAAATGCCTTCTTTAAAAAAGCTCTCATTTTTCCACATTTCCAGCACACAATTGACATTTAAAAGGAAAATGAATCTAGGACTGAAGAAATGCCATTGTTCCATCCCACTAAGTGGTCTGCCACCTGAGCTCGTGATTGAATTTTCTCCTGTGGGATTCCCCCATACCAGTCAAATAGTTGCAGCTGGAATAAGAATATCAATGGTTCTAGCTCTGCTAATGTTGTGTGGTATGGACAGGAATTGCACACTAAATATTCCCTAAAAAAACCCTGAACATTAAATGTACCACCTTAACTCTAAATAAATTATTTATATTTCAAGGTGAAGCTCAAAAAGCTAGGAAATGCCAGATATATACCTTTACAGCCACATGATTAACAGGTATTCTGATAGAGTCCTCAAACAAATTACCTCATATAATTTTTCCAAACCATGAACAGAATTTTCATCAAAAGAATCAAAATTAAAAGTGTAAATGCAGTATAAACCTGGTCTTTTCAAGGGCAAGCACTCAAAAAAAAAAGAAATTAACTTTTTTGCTCTATGAAAAATATGAGACATGAATTTGAAATGCTAAATTGGAATATTCTGATTGAGAGGCTCAGGCTATACTCACGTCTGCAATGCATTATTTTTTGCATTGATAAGGCTCTGTTCTTGTATCTTGTCAAGTATTAGCAAGGCACATTTTTCATGACCCTGTAGTTGGGGGAAAAAGAAACAAGAAACTGTTAATTTGCTGAGGAGTTTGAAATTGAGGCAAAATAAATGTTACATATAAAAGAGACATATAGTAACTCATTTTGAAACACAAAACATGCTACTCGGTGTGTAAGGACATGTAGTAGGTGAACTGTAGGAGCCTTAAAATATCATCTACAAACTGCCACTCCTAGGATGCTTTAGCACATTTGGAAATGTAGCCATTCAACTGTCTTTCAGCCCTCCATTCTTTATGTATTAATTCACCTTCCAGCTTTCAGAGAAGACCGCTGTTTCTCTTGAGAGAACATTCAATGGTTATTTCTTAGAACTAAATAGTAACACAGAAAGAGATGGTTTAATCTCAAAAACTAATACTGTACTTTCTGAGACTTGAAATGTCCTTCTGTGTTGTTAATAAGCTCCTGCAGAATCCCTTCAGTGGGAGAGCTCTAACAATGAACCTTTAGGCACAAGGCAGATCTGGGCCTTACTTCTGATCCTGTTTCAGCACAGTAAGTCACACATACCCAGCCTACACCCCTGGCAGGTGAACAGCTGCTTGAAGGACCCTGAGAATTCAAGGAGGCTTGTGTGTCTGCAGAAACTGAGGTAATACTATCATGGTGGAATCCAGTCTGTAAACAGGAGCAAGAAAAAAGGCCCAGGAGAGGGAATCTCATGCACTTTTTTTCTTGCAGCAACAGGAAGCAGTAGAAGCAACTGGAATTAAGCAGAAGAATGGGTGGGAAGAGACACCACCACCAATCTAATCAATACCTCTGGTTTTATTGCTGCTCTGTTAAGGGAAAAGCTTGGGTTCCTTCCACAGAAGTAGGATAAGAAAAAAGAAGAAACACTTTTCTAATTTTATTTGCCACTGAACCAAAGTTGAACTGTTTTACAATTAGATCAGGTGGTAAAATCTTAAAGGGTTTTCCATTACTTCTCTTGGTGTCTCCTTATATTTCAGCTGTCACAAGAGACATCAATATTTATCCATTTACAAAACTTTGAAATAGATTTGGAAAAAAGCTCAGAACAATGCTCCCTTCCTCACCACAGGCTTGACCATCATATATAATCCATTGCAGAAAACAAATTAGAAGCATAAACATATATACACATATACAGAATGGGAAGAGAATCAAAGCATGCAGAGGTCTTCAACTTACTTTACTGCTAGCCAAGTGCAAAGACGTGTTCAACTCCTTATCCTTTAATGTCAGGTCAGCCTTGGCAATGTTCACCAAAAAGTCTGGGGTATAGAGAAGAAATCAATGAACAAACTCAATGGGAAGATGAACATGTAGAAGCAGGAAAAATTTTACTGTTTTAATACGCATGTGCACACATGCTAATCCATTAAGCCTTTATGCAATGTAAGCCTTCTGAGCATGAAGTGAAAATAATGAATGAGAACGGACTAATCTTGTGCAGTTAATCAGCAAAGAGAGGCAGAGTTAATAGCTCACTCACTGTGCCACAAACCAACAACACATATTGATCTTAACTTATTTATAAACTTCCCCATTTGCAGATCAGCAAGTTCTGCCTGAATCACCTTCTCCTGATAACAAGTGTGGATCCTGCTTTGAGAGGACTAAGTGGATATAAAGAATTTAGGGTAAAAAGAATTTAGGGTAATGTCTGTGCTGTTGAAACTAAGGAAAAGGGAATTCGGTTAAGCCAATATAGCCCTAATCTGTATGTGTCTAGTCTATAGTCTCGCCTGGAAAAGCAGCTGCTGGAAGCTGCCATTTTAACTTCCCATAATAAAGGTTGCACACTCCCTTTCACACATGCAGCTTTCCTGCCCCATAAAATCAAGGAAGTGAACAAGATAACAGAATTACTACACCACGCATGCTCTTTAAAAGGAGGAAATTTCCTCAAGTTTGCTACTGCAAATGTTCACCAAGACTGCTGAGAAACAAGAACTGAGAAGAAAAGCTGTTTTTTTTAGAGATGTAAACAAATCCACACCATTTATTTTTCTTCCTTAGTTTTCATAGGAGAAGAAAAAAAAAAAAAAATACTACCTATTTGGGATAGTAACTGCAGTAGCACTCCCCCTTCAAGATGAGGAGAGGCTGTACTCACCCACGGCAGCTGCGTGTCCGTTTTGAGCTGCCATCATGAGAGGGGTTTTCCCTGCATGATCCGCAGCGTTGACGTGCGCGCGGTGGCCGAGGAGCAGCTGGAGACACTCCACGTGATCCGCGAAGGCTGCAGCGTGGAGGGGTGTCCTGGGGGGACAGCAGCACCAGACCAAGAATGACAACATTCCTGTTTACCTATCCGAGAACTTGAACAAGCAAGGCATTCTTATTTATTTATTTTTTTCCTAGTAAGCTTTGAGTTATCACCAGGGGAATGTTTTAGTAGCAGCATCCGAAATCAGTTAAGTAATATGTTAAGTAATATTTACAGTCTCTGTCCTGGTGCAATATAAACTTTAAAGAAAGGGAAACATAGTGGATGTGATAGTGTGGAGAAATCTCATATTAGCAGCATATTTATTTTAATGGAGCCTACTGTGCCATGTGAAAAGCAGTACAATCCGTCATTCTTATAAATCTGCTGTGGGTTTGGGTTTTTTTGTTTGTGTTTTTTTTTTAACAAGCCAAAGACAGGAAGAACTACCAGAAAATAACAGATCCATTATTTTAAAACACCAAAGTATTTGAAGTTATAGTAAAAAATACTGCAGCAACAAGCTGCAGTAACAGTGTTACTAAAAGGCAGAAGGAATTTTATCCACTTTCAATGTTATCAGTTTCCACAAGATTGAGACACTAGAATTCATTCACTCTCTCCCCATGACATTCTGTAGTGTGACTAACAGAGCTGAAAGAGAGTTCGTACACAAGCCAGCTTGAAGTGTTACTTCAGACTTTGCTTATCAGTAGGGGTGAGGTGGTCTTACCCTTATAACCATTCTAATCACCATTACTGAAGGTCTTGAATTTGTTTTAATTAATAGAAACAACAAGTATTCCATTTTTGGTGTTTCAGCAATATTAGTTAAATATTTATCAATACAGACACGCACAGTGAGATGATCAACATGACAAGGATATGGCTGAATGCACATCTCTTGCTGTATCAGTATTCTTTTGCTGCACAGACGTTTTGGGTTGTGTGCCCTGAGGATGCTGACATAACATTAAAGCTTTTAATAAAATACTATTCTACATCTACATAGTATCACTTCACTTAGCAAAGATACTTAACAAAGAAAACTGGTTCAAGGAAACAGCCTATAGTTATAACTGCTCTACAGAAACAAAGTATTATTTCTTTTGTATTTCTTTTCCTATGTACTATGAAATCAAATACTTCATAGTATTCTTCCTTCAAGTAAGTCACCGTTAAACTCTAGCACTGTAAAATGCTGTCTGAAACAGTCAGCTTGACAAGTCTTAATTTAACCATCTCAGATGAGGATTAGTTCCAGAGGTTCAGAAAGACTTTTATAAGAAGTAGTAGATGTATTAATGAAGATGAAATGTAATTTATTTAAGGAACTATTACCTTCCTTTGTCATCTTTGCAATTGACAATGCTGGCATCGATGGCTCCAAGGAGCAGGGATGCACAGTTTTCATGATCATTGATTCTGCCAAAGAAAAGACATTTTCAAAAGGGTAGTAAGTCTACATCTTTTCTCACTTTCCACTATTTGTTTACTTCCCAGTAATATCTCTTACTGGTTATTGTAAGTTATCTTAACATACATTTGCTGTAATAATTTCAGTCACATTTTTGATTATTCATCATATCTTCGTGTAACCACATTGGATCTGCTGCTATGAATTTCAGTTTCTAAAGCAAAACTGATCCTGCAATTCACTGTGCACAAAGGTAATTAGAAATACAGTGCAAACCCAGGATTAAGACCTTAATACTTTTAAATCCTTTAATCTAAATGTCAAACAAACCTGGGTCTGGAAAGCACTCAGTCATAGATACCTACATATAGAAAGCTTTATTTGAATGTTCTAAGTATTGAAGCTCACACCCCTTCCAGCTCACACATTTAATACTTCTCCTTGATGGACAAACTCAATTAATACTCCTTCTGGCTACTGTTAATTTGTCTCATGTCATTATGAAAATTAACAATGTTTAGTAACAGTATTGGACATATAATATAGCTAACACACAGCCACACTGGATTAGCTGCTGTTTTCATTATAAATTTGCATAAATTTTTAAGTTGCACATATTTTTGAGAACTACATACTAGTTTAAAAGAATACAAATATTGAAGAAACATTCAAAGGCGTGATTAGAAATTCAGATTTAAAATACCATGATTCAGCCACAGATTATTTTATTTTAAGCAGAGTAAAACCAGTGCTTTCTATATGCTTGTATTTCTCTAATACATTGGGGGTTTTATAATTTCCAAGTTTGATACATGACAAATTACTTTTCTTCTTTCCAATTATGTGGAATGTAAAAGGGAAGCCTACACAACTGTAATTCTTGTCATTACTTCTGGAAGACATTAATTCTCCTAATAGAACATAGAATAGAATACAGTCATTCTAATTGTTAGCAGAAATTAGGGAGGTTTGTATTTCTTTTTTCAGTGCTTAATTCCTTACTCTTCTGATGGGTTACATGTTTCAATAAGCATGTCAGGTCCCACAAACACAAGCAGTCTTACATGTTTTAAAAATGCATTTGCAATTATGTTACAAAAAGTTATGATTTTGCTCTATTAGAATCTTTCCCATATGAAAATGTACTGCTTTATTTGAATAAGGAACATGAATAAAATACATGCATGGAGGAAGATGTATATGTATATGTGGCTCATAATGGCCACCACCTTTTTGTTGCTCGTAAGTAAAACGTGAGCTCTGGATACAGACGATGCTTCTACGGCTCATCAGTCCCTTTGGCCAGGACCTGGCTAAGAAGCACCAATCCTTCAAGGCAGAGATTATCTCAGAGGG